ACGTATAACGGCGGTAACGTTCATGCAAATTTCCATCGCTAAGCGGCGTGGCACGGAATTTCAAATTTTCGCTTTAACGGAATTTTAGCCATGAACGTTAATTCTGTATTTGTAAATCGAGGTGGTTTTAGGCATTTAAGCCCGGATGGAAAAATTATTAACGTATAAATTACCAAGTTTGTAATTTCTTGTAGATTGTACTGTCTTTCGAGATATTGTGGTATTTTAAATAATTGTTTCTATCTTTTCACGACAGGACACAGTTACATATATATATAGCACAACGTTGATTAATTTAATGCAGTGAATAATTTAATGCTATATAATTTTGTCAAAGAACGGAGAGACAGGATTTCCGCCCTTTGATTTAATTATTTAATTGCACCGAAATGCGCTTTTGCAGAAAGTTTGAAACATTTCAATGCTATCGCTGTAGCATTATTTATAATTCGTTTCTTTATTTATCAATTCAGTTTAATAATCTACGTCATTTACAGTAATCTGTTTTTATAATTGGACTATATATATAGCTTGGAATGCTTAGTTTAAATTAATGAGAGCAATAAAGCAATAACATCTAAAATGTATATCTAAAATATTTCTCCTTTTCCGATTGTTCTTCGGATTCTCTTACACCGAATACACGAATGTTATCGATTTGAGAACTCATGCAGATTTGAAATCCTTCCCGTGATTCCTTTCCCTTGTATATTCCGAGCTCACACGGTATCGCCGCAAGGGATTTCGGCCGACTTATTTTCTTGGTCCGCGACGCATGGACTAGAGAATGCCGGTTTCTGTTGTCTATCCCACGGATATATCCCTCCTTCGGTTCCTTCTGTCTCGCGTGTGTCCGCGTCTCTCGAGTTCCTTTTCCATTTTTCTCTCGAGCGCGTATAGAGAAATATTTAGATGCGCCATACGGCGAGGTTTGTCAACGGTGAAAACAACGACGGGTCTTTATATTTTTGCATGGGAACATGAAAGATTGTCGATCTTTTTAAATTTCTATCTTAAGTGACTCGCGCGGGAAGAGTAGAATGCATTTATAAACGCTTTTAGCGAGGCTTCGAAATTTTATTATGCGGCCATTAACGATCGATATTTGATCAACCCATCGATCGCATTTCGCGATATTATTATTCAGCACAAAATTGCTGTGTATGACTGCAACTTTTACGAATTATTTAATGCGTCTATCTATCGTTGGAAAAACACGCGGAATCGTTACGTACGCGGATTGCTATACAGAAATCAAATAAATGGAGCAATAAAAGTAGGCAATAAATAAATGAAGTGTGCGAAGAGCAAGAAAAGATTTATTTCTTGCTCATTGACTGCTTATTAAGGAAAAAAAATTGTTTGAATAGAGAGACGATAAAATATGTGATTGGAGTGAAAAAGTGGATTATCATTGTGCCTAACTATCCATATTTGACGTTACTTCGATAACGCACGTGTCGCATACACGCTGCCGATATTATCGAACGTGATTGGCATTCCTTCCCCGTGCCGAACATTTCTCTTCGAACGTTTATCGCCTTTCTATCCTCCAAGCGATTCATTTAAAGACGGATAAAGAATCCAACCATTGTGTTCTCGTTTCATGTCGGCGGTAGACTCGTAGCGAAAATAGAACCTAACCCAAATAAACAGTGACACGCGAGCACGATGTTATCCTTCGTAGTAGCTCGGTGTAACTTCGTTTAACACGAAAGGGCGATGGCGCTTGCGGCAAAATTTACGAAAGCAAGCTCTTACAAACGATGAATATACTCTTCCTTCTCTACTTCGTTTAACCATCTGGCGTTGTGTTAACACTCTCATTTAAGAGGTAAATATATTTAATTAATTTGCTAATCTTTTACCTACAATAGAGCTCTTTGCGTACACACAAAAAATACCTTTAAGAAATCGGAAGAGGAGATACTTTTCTTTTTGAATTGCGCGATACTATATTTTTTTAGTCATATCTGTGAGATTTATTCAAAGCTGTGTATAATTAAAAAAACAATATAGAGAGTACGGATCTGAATAAAGATGCACAAAGGAGGACTATTTTTTAATGCGAGGAATATTTTAATTTCAAATTTTGAATCGCGACACATGGCGCAGTGTTATTTTTTTCCTCTTTCAAAGTTTCATTTTAAGACTTTATTTAATTTCTCGTTATTGTTTAACTTTTTCTTTTCACAACAACTCCACAGTAAATTAAATTTGTGTCTTCTGTTTACCTTATTCATTAATTTCGCATCGCGATTATTATTTTTTATCATATAGTTGTGTTTACCCTTTGTTGTCGCGTACGTTTAACTTGAATTCAACAATCTCTTACTCTCGGCGTTATCAAAAGAATTTTCTTTGAGATCCCGAAATACAGTCTATTCCAGGAGAAAAATATATTGCATCTTCAACTCTTATCTTTTTCTACTGCCGTGACGGGAGATGCTACACTTATGCTACTTACAGTATATTTACTGCCAGATCGTAAAGGATCATAAAGGAAAGAAAAAGGAGGTTTTTCAACCCGATACATCGGCTGGCGTTTTAGAGACGAGGAGCAGTAAACTCTTTTACGGAAAAGTGTCTCCGATAGTAACGACCACTAAAAAGCGACCATGCCACTTCGCCACGTACGGTTCTGGCAAAGCTAGAGAGCCAGACTACTTTCGCACTAACGTTTCTCCAGAGCCGCACACCGCTTTCGAACACGTGTCTACTCGAGACAACGTTCTCTCCACTCGCTCTGAAAATGGAAAGAAGGCCTTTTTGAGGAAGATAGTATAATCTTCAGAGTTCTCTTATTCTGTACCGTCGAAGGCTTCTCTCGCGAGATTGTTCTTCTGCAGATCTCGAAATTTCTGATCCTTGTTTACGAAAGGTTTAAATTATTATCATCTTCAAGATGTTTCCAACTTAGCTATACCTTATATGAAAAAGGCACAGTTATTTATTCCGTCGATAAAAAAAACTCCGTCAGAACTTGAAGAAAACTTCACATCTTATTACATACATATTATTTTATTAATTATATCAATAGAACAAATTATTGATAAACTTCTTTATTAATAATTAAGATAAAATAATTCCTCTTTTTGATCGCGAGCGATGATTATATATGAAACACACAGTGGCACACACAGATATAATTTCCTGTCAATCAAGATGCCTGCGCGTAAAGCTGACTTAACTGCACTTCTCTCGTCATCATATACATCCGTGTATCTGGATACATCGCCGGTTCGATCCGGTATAACGCGTCCTCGCGATACGGTTACGGTTGAAACGGTAAAACGTGCATGCACGCTTCTTTCTCCGCCTATGAATAGCGGAATGTCTCCGGCGCGTCTGAAAAGAGCGCGACACGCGCGAGTTAGCTTCTCTCCTTCGCGAGAGGGAGAGAAGAGAAGCGAGCTTTTCACGTCCCGAAATCTTTCCGAGGGTTGCTACGCGCGCGTGGCCATTTCATCGTTATATCCCGGTCCTTTCGAATGCAACCCTCGATTTTCCGATACGAGCAGACAACTTTGCACAATCTGCGAGATTGCGTGCACGCGACGACGGCCAACTTTTCCTTCATGGGGGCGATGCATTGCGCATAATGCAACGGTTGCACGTCCACTTATCGGCGCCCGATCGCGCGCTCCACGTCGGGAATATAATCATCTCGTCGCGTAATAGGCCCGGTGAAAATGACAGATAATATCCGCCGATCGTATCACGTTTCGGTTTAATTTACGCGGCCCTTGCATTCATTTATTCCTCTTTTTTGCGCGATTCAAATCGGTCTTTGATCGACACTTTTCACGGAGGACGGAGTATCGATCTGGTAATATCGAGCTAACACGTCGATATCGTCGATCGTTACTTTTATGTACGTGTGTAATCGCCCGTCTAACGTCGTTAACAAGTATGCCGCCGCGCTTCGTGTGGCCCAAAGTTTATAATTTCCTAATTTAATACAAAGTTAATAAAGTCCCGAGACGCGCGTATTTTCCAATTACTCGGTGCCGGGTTACTCGCAAGAACATATTTCAAATACACACGTTGAACTCTAGATTATAGATCGTTTAACGAGCGAGCAAGTTTACGATCATTCTCTTAATTGAGAAATTCTCAAGTCGATCGTATTTTCAGATTATCTCTCATTGTATAATACCATCTGGTGAGATAAGATAAATTGTTCAAACACAATTCCAAAGATGTGAATTTTGAAGCGAGACATTTTTATTTCCATGTAACATAATCATAAAAAAAACTATAGATTTATTTATTCTTGATAAGTATTGAATAATTATATGTTAAATAATGGTATTAAATGTAAGGAAATATATAAATATTATGAAATATAATATAACCAATAAAATATATAATGAGATATCATATCGATAAAACTTTTGTTTTTCGCAATGTAATCCGTGACGCTAGATTTCAGAAATTGCTTGACTCAAATCTATGAAGACGAATCACTGAATAAATAAGGAAGCGAAAGTTCTTTGATGAGATTAAATCATTGTAGCTATTCATTATAGTATCTTTGAAGTTTAAAAAGTAAATAACTGTGAAAGCAAAATTTATTTCGTCGTGAACTTAATTCTCTCAATATCGAAAATAATTTTTTATATATAATCACTTTTACAACGATTCTAATATTATTCGATTAAAATTGAAAATATTTATCTATACTTAATTATGAAAATTATTATCGTAAATAGTTATAAAAAGATCGAATATTAATACATGCACATATTGTATTTAAGTTTACGATTCTAAAATATTTTATTTTAAATTCATTAATGATTAAATAAATTTGACTAATTGTATAAATAGTTTTAAAAGATAATTTTATATTTTATAAATAAAGAAAACTTTTTGTTGCAACTCAGATATTTTTAATTTTATATTTCATTTTAGTCTTCATATGCATGTATATATATAGATAATTATTCGAGCACTTTCTCTTTTATTAATATCGACTATTTCTATTCTATGATTTACAGATATCAGAATGCGGTGATGGAAAAAAACATTCGACCTGAAAATATACATATCGCAACGGTACATATGTATGTGGATTATTAATCAGAAGACTATAATCATATCCACATATCTACGGACGCTATAACCCGTATTAATATTGTACAAGATTTTACGACGTTTCGTGTTGGAGTAAAAACAAACGTGACATATCGATCGCCAAACGTATCAGATTCTATCACACAAACCTCGATAAACGTTTGAAACGTTTGAATCTAAACTACTGCAAAATTAGTGTAACGTAATCCGTCGGTACAATTTATCGCATTTCTCTCGTGTGATACATCGATATCGAGAGATCGATCGATTTTCAAGAATAATTTACAGAAATGGACGATGTTCTGTGACACTTAGAAAAAGTTGCAAGATGTTACACGTCAGTCAGTCGTCTGACATTTTAGTATAAAATATCGCTCGTCGGAGAAGAGGACGCTGTAATTCCCGCTGTGGAAACTTCTGACGCGATCACTCGTGAAAGGGAAGCAGCAGTTTTCCGTGCCGATCTCCTTCTCTCTTTCTCTCCACTCGCGCACACGATTAATTAACGTCCTCGATCCTCGGTAGAAAGGAGGAACTGATCTGGACCTTTCGACGTCATTCGGCGAGCCCGGTCGCAGGAAGGTCGCAGAGCCAGAGACGAGAGGATGTTGCTGAGGTAACACGACATTTCGAGGCCGCACGAGAAGCACGATAATCGCAGGACGCAGGACGAAGGTGTCGATAATCGCAGCAGGAGGCGGGCGAGTACGCGCACAAAGGAAGGAACGAAGAGGAGCCCGGACAGGAGATGGGCTTTCCGAGGAGAAGGTCGTTGTGGCTGAAGGTGGCGGTTCTGGCAACCGCCGTGTGGGTGACCGTCTGTTTCCTGCTCTACACCGAGGATCGGGCAGCCGCCGTTCAGGGGTTGGCGCCATCGGGGGTTGCGATGCCACAGCAAGCGAACGGCTTTGTGCCGCCCGCGGCGCCATTTAGAAAAGAGACGTCCGGGAACGTATTCAGCAACAGGGCGAAGATCAATCAGGCCGGACCGGAGCAAGGTAATTTTTGAAGCACTGTTTTTAAGCTCCGCTTTTTTCCCGTATTTCTTCTCATTTGTTCAATTTAGCGGGAGAGTCGAGCTTTCTCTGTGGGAATTATCTCGGTGAAAATAACAGATCAAAGTGACAACCTTTTAACGCAACCAAAGATAGACACGGGATAGGATGGTCGAGTCTGTTTCATTATTTTTCTGCATGAGCAATTATTTCTGATTAAATTTGACGTAAAAAACGCATCTTTTTTATTTATTTATTTTTTTTTTTTTTACGTAGAGATATGTGATGTATAGTGGCTTTATTTAATCTTTTGTCGATGCAACGTAGATGTACTGTGAGTGGCCACATGAATCAGGTCTGTTAGGAAACGGCTTAACAGGCTGACACATCACGCGGATTAGGTGCTAGTTCGGTCTTAATAAGCTGATAGATGTTCCTTGCGGAATGTATGGTCTGTGCATGAATCATACTGAGAATGTTAAGTTAGTTCGCGAGCCACCTGTGGCTCGACATCGTGTCCGATATTTCGAGACAGTTTTTTTAGGTATCAATCATTACAGATTCACCTGCTTACAATATTAGACAAATCGATAAGACACTATCAATTGCAAGTGAATACAAAAATGAGTATAAAGTTTATCGATTTCAATAACTTTAAAATATTTATAGAAAAACGGTGTAAATCAAATTTTCAAAATATTTGATTATTTCATCACAGATTTGTGTAAATTTTTTACATATAATTAACACATTTTTAGAACATTGCGCTTATTGAGAACTTTTACTTTTAATTATGAAGATAAGATTTTCAAATTAAGAAACATTTGATGATATGTCGATTCAAGAACACTTTATCTGGAAAAAATTAAAACTTCTACGCACGTTTTTTAAATCCTATTAATGTTTGATTTACATTTCTTGCGTGTGTGTTAATTGCACAAGATGGGAGTAAAATCAAACCGCAGGGAAGGAAGAATATAGATCCGAGAGTACGGCTGCATCCGAGAACCCTCAAAGACGAAAGTTCGTTCTCTCCGGGCGCCGCCACAGGCGCAATAAGGAACCCTTGGTAGTTCATCTCGCCGCTCTTATTGCCAGACGCGAAGTACGAATAGGGCTCTCATAGTACATGGATCATCTCGGCGATATTGTCGGTGGTTCACGCGCTAGCGAGCAACGCGATATAGGAAGGTTGCTTGTCTGTGAGCGGGGATCTCTTGAGTGATAAACCCAGACGTCTCGCTTGGTGGTGCCTCTCATGATCTCGCGTTCCCCAGAGGAGCCTTCACGTACTCGCGCGCACAAAACGACGTGTTAATGAATTTAAATGCCTCGACGCGCTAGAGAAACGGCCGAGGTTGAAAGTGAACGAGACGAAAGATGCTGCGTTTTCTCAAGGAGAAAGCTCCGTGTTTGGCTGGCGCAAAGCTACGGATGGGGTGGCGGTCGTGATACACGGCGCGAGTTTCACCGTCGAACTTCGTGGCGGGCCGGGTCGCGGCACTAAAGCAATTTGTCGTTCTCTTTATTGCCGCATCGTACACACCGGGGTACCAACTTTGTCGAGCGGGATAAAATTATTTTCGGGACAAGCGAGCGAGCGAGCGAGCGAGCCGACCGTATCGCGTACTTACCTCTGACTTTAGCGATGCCGCGGCAATATGGCGCCGGCAAATAAAACCGGAGTTTATGCGAGAAAGCTCTTAGAATAAGGCGTGTACCTTGACGCGCGGCTACGTCCCGGCTGGATGTGCTGAAAATTCAATTCCCGATTCCCTTTTTCTCTCTCTACGACGACGTCGCCGTCGCCGACACGTTCTTTCTTAACGTTGACGTTAAGCACCGTGCTCCGCTTCGGGCGAAACGAGAAGTGAAGCGAGATTAGCTGGAACTAAATCGAGTGCAATCGGATAAAATATGAACCACAAGTATGACGTAATTCTCAGCGTCGCTCGATTTGTCTCTCTATTTCGTCGAAATAATATTTTTACTTTCTTTCTTAATCAAAGTAACGGTATTCTAATTTTAATTAGGAAAGTATCTCAATTTTCTTTGAATAAGTCTGCACTTATAAAAGCTTTTAATCTGTAGAATGTAATAAAATTTTTTTCTCGTTTATAGGATAATATATTGATTCGATAGGTCGTCCCGTTAATTTTTCCCATTATTGTTTAATCGGAAAGAAATTTTCATTTTAATTCTAAGCTCTCTGGAAAGGATGGATTGAATGAAAACGGGATAAAATTGAAAAGTACAAAAAAAAATGTTAAAACAAAAATATGGTTTATCGAAGCAGAGGAACTGAAGATACTAAATGTATTTAGTTTTTAATTTTTAATTATTTGGATAATGAAAATATTTTATAAAATTTTAACGTAAAATCGCTTAATAATTCTAATTGATTTGACGACGAACGATGATGGAAGCGATTTTTACGCTGGTTTATTATAATCAATTTATCAATATAAGCCAATATTCTGGTCACTCATTAGCGATCCCTTTAATGATCCTATAGGTGGTGGAGTACTGGCTGTACCACGGGATCCGGATGCTGTCGCACCCGGCGAGATGGGCAGGCCCGTGATACTGCCGACCAACATGTCCGCACAGACCAAGAAGCTGGTGGACGATGGCTGGCTCAATAATGCGTTTAATCAGTACGCCAGTGATCTCATTTCCGTGCACAGGTCCTTGCCCGATCCACGTGACCAGTGGTGAGTTCTATTCACGTAATATTGTCATGCGATAGTTTGTTTAGATTAATTGCTTGCGATATAATATTTTTATTCTTCAAAACAATTTAGTAGCTTCACGATGTTTTATTGAAATAATATCTCATGCAACGCGATATGTTGTTGCAATGATATGGGGTAATGGAGTATATAACGATGAAGTATATGACAATAAAATTTTACTGGTAGTAAAATGTACTGCAAATTAAAGAATACATCCTAAAGATACGCGGTTTATTACTTGTAGAGACGCGATATCTCTTTCAGTATGACATTTGCCATCCGAGAAAACGGGAAATGTATGCAAAGTGAACATAGAAAGAACATATACGTTTAAACGTAACGAAATATTCTTAGTGGATGCATTACATCTGATGTGAGAGGGATACGTTGGTCCCTCCGGAGCACCAGAACCCCGGAGTAACAGCTAGCGGCATTTTTGCCGATCGAGGCAGATAGTCCGCGGTAATGCGTCGGAGAATCGTAGTCGTAAATGTTCCATGCCATTTTCTTTTACCGCAGATATGGCGGCATCATAACACGGTCGTTGATAAAACGCCATGGCCCGGAGATAGCGACCACGCAAGCTATCTATCTTGATCCTATGAGATACTCCCTAATTTAAATACATATATAGAAATAAATCGCAAAAAACTATATCATTATCGCGTACATTACGAATAATTTGAGTTGGCTTTTATTTTGCGAAAAATGCACAGAGAGATGCTAGATCCTGGGATGTTCAGTGCTGCGAGTGTAGAATTATTCACGAAGCAATGACCATTTACGGTGTTATGAAAACAAATTTTCTAATGGGGAGATGTTTGCATTCGCAATTTATTAATTTTCCCTGTATAAAATGAAATATCTTTCTTCAAAGGGATTTTATTTGAGTTCTCTTTCGAAAATTTATTTCGTCCTTGCTTCTTTCTTTGAAAAAAAAAAAAAAATAGTTTATTTTATCCTACTTTTGAATAAAATATAATACTTTATTTTGATTATATATTTAATGACACATATTTACTAATTTATGGCGCGCGTAATTATAAGATATAATATTATTCGTTTTTATTTTGCAATAGGTATGATATTGAATATAGCTGTTAATAGAGTTTCTGTTAGATGTCGATATCATATGTACGATCGGAAATTACGTTTCTCTTTATATATTCTCTTGCATTTCGTCGTAGCAAAGTGGAATCTATTCAAGCGCAACGCATACGATCATGAAGGATATTAAAATCGGCTTTTGTGGGAAACGTTTCATCCGAGGCAACTGCGTGGAGGGATGCTCCTGAATAAAATATGCAACGATGTTGCTCGCGAGGAGCGTTTCTGAAGTAATATTGTAACGCAATGCCTCATGTAATTTGCATTGGTCCATTATTTTAATTACGGCGTCAAGTTAAACGCGTTGCTATTATATGTAAACATTTTCCTCGAACGAAGAAGTACAAACCTCCCTAATGCATATATGTATATATACACATATATGTATACATACATGTGCATACGTATATATGTGCGCTCAAGCTATGCTAATGACTCGCTATTTCGAATTCTTGTTAACGTTGCAAATTATTTTCCGTCTACGTCGCAAATACAATTTCACGGAGAACGTCCGCTCGCTTGCGCTACGTTTACTACGGGTACGTGTTACGTGTTGTTTAATTAATTGCGCTGTGCCTAATTTGTTGCGCGAGTTGACCGTAATAGTGTACGGCGAAAAGAGCGCGCGCGGGCGACGTAGTTCAGAAATTTAATCATCGGAAAACGCGTTCCCGGAAATTAATATATTGCCTCTACCTTGTCGCCGTCTTCGTGCTATATACGGAAGTTCTAAAATTTCCCTTTGGAACATTTCATTTATATTTCATCAAACGTGCGCTATCTTTTCTTTTATCTCGTATATTCGGTATTTCCTCTTTGTGGCACAGAAATATAATATATTCGTGTCAAAATTAAATGACGCATTTTTTAATATACACGAAAACAATACGTTTTTTATAAGCTGCTATTAAAATTCTATATATCGCGAAATATGTACAATCTTATTTATCTTTTTGTTGTCTTAGAAGTTTAGTGTCTCTTCCGAATTACATCGGACAATTGATCGATAATTTTATTGCGCGTACCATCGTAGATCGACGTGATTTATTCGGGCGAAATCGAGTAGGGCCGTAACTATACCGGGTCTGCGGTACGTCCGAAATATGTTACGTAGTGACCGTAAATTTTCGCTAAAACTTTGTCCCGGCGGCATCGGCGTCGGGCCGACCGCGGCAGCGAATTAACCCCATGAATATTAATTACAATTTACATGATATTAACCGACATTATCAGGACAGGTGGGCAAACTTCGTGGGTGCCTGTTGTTACTGACATACCGCGAGTCGCGTCCGTAACTAACGGCTTGGATAAGGGTGCCACCACACCGGCGCAGGTGCACTGTATGGTGCGCTTACAAACAGGTGTCCCTGATTTAGAGCCACGAGGATCGGTCACCAAGTTGATATTCATTACGAAGCGATTATGGGGTCACTTTAGAATTGCGATGAGAAACACTCGGAGCTCAAATAAAATCATAATTGTCCATCATTTCATTAAACATTTTGAAATGTTGCATATTATTGATATATATAGTCGTTTTATTAAATGGGAATAAAATGCAACCCCATCTGAATCAATGTGCATACATGTTTTATGCCGATAAATTGATTAAAAGGAGAAAAACGATGAAACGGTTATCCAATTAACAGGCAACAAAGAATAATAATTCAGTGTATTCGTAGCGTATTTATACACCTGCGGATAATACACGTGTCTCTAATTTTAACGTAACTTTGCACTTGTGCAATTTTCTTGTCAAATATTTCCCTTTCAGTGAGCGCACGATGCGAATGATCGCCACGGGCTCTTTTATAAAACGATGTAAATATTGCTTTTATCATTCGGACGCACGTTTTATTGTGATCGAAAAGTATATTCCCGACAGCTTAAACGATTAAATCCGGATTTTATTGAATTACCGATCATAGAGTCGAAATAATTAGCGATTACGATCGCGTTAGTTAACAAAGGTATAACGGGCATTTGTGGTTATTAATTAATAATTTAAACACCCAAGGGCTGTTGTAATTGCCGCGGTGGACCAATTATTTAAAATGGTCGTTATCTCCGCCACCGGTTACATATGGTTTTTTGAATATTCAATTAAGCAACCTTCAACAGCTCAATACGGCTCGCCAAATAACAGAAGACCACCTTTCGAATGGTTTAATTAATTTTACAATCGAAATATATATATAGCAAAACTATAAACTACAAAAAATACCAATTTCGTGGGAAACTAGAATTATCGAGTGTACATGACAAAAATCGATAAACGATTTGTCGATATCTCTAAACTATTGTTTTGTCGATTTGCAATATAGAATATTAGAGATGAAAAAAATGGCTACTATATAAAACCGATAAAAACTGTTTAATCTGTTCAATTTTATAATTTAGTTGCGCGTTATATATATATATCTCTTTCTCTCTCTCTTTAATATAATGTTATACTCGGATGAGAAATAATTTTCGATATTAAACGAAAAAATTTAGGGATAACACCATTCAACAAGTTAGAGATTGATTCTCGTAGATTCGAAGATAAACAGAGATGCTTGAGTGACGTTGTGACGCGAGGAACGGAAAGATCAATGCTATTTTCCGTGAGGATAAGAAGTATGAAATGAGATAAAAGGTCGCTTTCCGCGGTTTTTCCGTCCGACCTGGTGGTTCTGCCCCACGGGTAGAGCTCCGCGGAAATAGAAATTTAAATATGCAAATGGCGAAACGTTCGGTTTAATAAGTTGCTTCTTCAGCGACTGTGAAATTCGCTTGCCAGGACTTTGCTTAATTATCACGTTACCAAACAATGAGAATCATCTTTGTGTTTTGAGTATTTAATTTTCCATAAATTGTCATATAAAGATATTTCCAATTTTTCGACAGACAGCGATCATCATTTTTGATAGAAAATCTTATATTAAATAAAATATCATATTCTTTAAAAATTCCATAACTAAATTCATGAAATATATTAAATGTATTTAAAAAATAAATGTATTTAAAATCACATTATATATTTTTACAATTTTAATAATATTAATTGTAGGTATAATTTATTTGTCTGTTACACAAAAATTCTTTTTAGATGTTTGCCTAGTATTAATATTAACTTTACAAATTTAATGTTATTAATCATTGATATTAATCGGAGTGACGAGTAATCGGAATTGCTTAATTCATTATATGTGACGTGTAAATTATAGCGGGTATTTTACACCATCTTTCATCTGATTGCAATTAACCCTTAATCCCTTTAATCTCCGAAATAAATTTACAAAGATGAAAATTCGAGTTTTACGGTTAATTTTCTGTAGGCGGCATAGCGGTCCGTTTCTCATTAGCCGAAAAGTTTTCTTGTCTAAAAGTACATCTCCTTTCGAAGCGTCGAAAAGACGAAGGAAAATTGGCGATGTCGTTCTGTTAGATAAAAGAAAGAAAAGAGATGGGGAGAAGCGATATCTAGCGAGAGTTCAACGAGGACTTATGAGCGACGTATAATAGTTCGCATCTGCCAGCAATTTCTTGAAGAAAGCTCTCGTTGCTGAAGCGGCTATTGTCATGTCGTTTATTGAAAAAAAAAAAAAAACATAAATCGATAATGCTGTGCGTAGTTGAATATCACCGGATATATAAATACAAAAAAATATATAAACAAGATTATTTTTATGATATTCAACTCGAAATTTTTAAACAAAATTTTCTCTTTATTCATTGCTCGATTAAATCGAAACATGACTGTTACTATATTAATTTTTAATCCCTCCCTTTGTTAACAATAAAATTCTGTTAAAATATATTGGATTTTTATTTTTACATTTGACCGATGGACGAATAAAAAAGAATAGAAACGGATTATCAGATTTGTT